GACAAAAGTATAATAATTTTTTTTTGTCAAATTAGTAGATCCTTATAATGAAGAAAAATCCAAAAATAATTTGTGTTAAGAAAAGGAATGAGTATTTTGTTATGCCACGTTTTAATTAGAAGAACTAAACAAACACACATAAAATAAATGCTACGGTTTTATTAACTACAAAATATCTCAAAAACACTTTTTTTATTGTTTTGATTTTAAGTTATTATTGATAAATAATGGAATTAAATCTAATATAATCATTTATTTTTCTTCAAAATTGTGAACCAAAATTCAAAAACTTTAAAACATATAATCTCCAGTTTTTTTTGAAAAAGATTTTTGAGTTAGATTTTTCTATGATAGTGTCCGATTCTTATATCGAATAGTAGAAAGAAAATAGAATTGAAGTATTAATATAAATAAATATAATTAGTTTGAGTTTTTATACAACAAAAAATATAGTCTTTTGAGTGTATTGATGATTTAGATAGTTGCGAGGGATTTCCATTTTTTCGTTAAAAAAATAATTTGTTAAGAAGGTTTTTTGTTTTTTGGTTTAAAAATAGTTTGTTGTGAGAGTTTGCAATTTTTCTGTTCAAAAATTATAGTTGAGAGAGGGTTTACAATTTTTCCATCTAAAAATTGTAATTGAGAGACTGTTAGCAATTTTTCCGTTCAAAAAATGTAGTTTTGAGGATTTGCAATAGGTTAAACCTCTTTTGGAAGAATGTTATTGTTATTTATGAGGGTGCGTTGTGTCGTATGTGTGTGTGTGTGGGGGGGGGGGGGGGGTTTCTAGGATTAGATGGGGCTTAATCATAATCTGACACTCAGTAGTCAGAGCTTTGCGGAAATACTGGAATGATGTGGTTCCATCTCAAGATTCAGACAAGTGGTGTTAGAGACATGCAAAAATGATTTGTTTTCGGTTGTCTCTACCTATTCCACATTTATGAGATGAATCATCCTTTGGTCTCCTCTCTCAACACAGTGGTGTTTGTTACTTATGAGTTTACGGTTTGTCTATAGTATATGATCTTTAGATGGTTAGGATGTTATTTAGAGCTTCCTAGAGACCTCCCTACTCTTTTGAGCTTTATATTTCTTTAGGTGACATTTCTAGGATTAGATGGGACCTAATCACAATCTGACACTGAGTAGTCAAACCTTTGTGGAAATACTGAAATAATATTGTCTATACAGATAAGTCTTTTCCAATGAATGAGGTAAAAAGAATATCATTTTACTTACTTGAAAATGATATTTTGGTAGGTCTATAATTAACTCATGTGCTTTCTCAGATTGACTTGAAAAGCATATTCTTAGTCTAGGTCAATAGTAGTGGGGGACACATTGCATTCTATAATGTAATGTGTCTTAGGGGAATGCAATGATTTCCTCTGTTTATTAGAAATGCAACGTGTTTTTTGGGAACACGCGACACCCCTACTAGGATTTCACCACATCTTCCTTCAATTGTTACTTGTACTAAGAAAAAAGGATGAAAAAGAGGAAATCGCTGATTTATTTACAGATATCATCTTTACAGATAAGTTTTTTTTAGTGAATGAGGTTAAGGGAGTATCATTTTAATTACTTGAAAATCGTATTTTGGTAGATCTATAATTAACTCATGTGCTTTCTTACATTGACTTGAAAGCATATTCTTAGTCTGAGTCAATAGTAGTGGGAAACACATTACATTCTAGAATGTAATTTCTTTAAGGGGAAAGCAATGATTTCCTCTGTTTATTAGAAATGCAGCGCATTTGTGGGAACACACGACACCCCTACTAGGATTTCACCACGTCTTCCTTCAATTGTTGTTTGTACCAAGAAAAAAGGATGGAAAAAAGGAAATCGCTTATTTATTTACTTATTTGTCGAGTCGAAAAATAGGATGTTATAATTAGAGTCTCAGAGGTCATGATGACCTAGTCGTCATTAGAGTGACGTCCGTCACCCTGAAATAGAAACAGAACTTGCGTTTCGGCCATAGAGTTCAATTAAGAACTCCGATTTTCCCTTTCTAACCCTCAAATCAATAAGCAAAATTAGGGAAAACGATACCTAACATTGAAATATCATTTATCAATCAATTAACATGCATTATATTCGATTAATCATGGATTTAACATACTTTATTCATCAAAATCACCACACACATATGAGCACATATGAACACCATCTTCATCAACAAGAACACACAATTTCCATGGTAACTTAGTGCACAAAATCACATAACGTAACACATAAAATCATGTTATTACTTAATTCAACTCATGTTCATCATTCATTCCTCAAAAGAAAAATTAGGGAAAAACCTAGTGGGATTAAGGATTTTCCTCTACCCAATCATTCCATCTACATCATATTAGGAGTAATCCCCAATTATCTTAGATTTTCCAACAAAAATACTTTCAATCTATAACAATGGAGGTTCTTCTAAGCCATAGTCTTGCCTTTTCCTTCTCCAAATTTTATTTTACGTACTAACCTAAAATTCTCTACTAACTCCTTTTTATTAAAAATCTAATATTCCTCATCTTGTGATTCCCAGCCTGCTCTCACTTATTCTTTTATTTGCCAACATACTTTTTTTAACTCTAATTTTATTTTAATAATAATAATAATAGTAATAATAATAATAATAATTCTCATTATCTCTAGTATCCAATTTTTTCATCTGAAAATCTTCTTTTCTATTTTATTTGAATATTTAAATTAAATAACTACAATTCTAATTATTTTAATTATTTTAAATGTTCTAATTCTTTTACCACCCTACCAAGATCCTCAGTACACTCCACCAATGTCCCACTTACACATGCAAATCACCATACATATGATTAAATAATTTCTCTTAATGGATGTCGACCAGGTACAAGGGCTTGATTGCCTTGGGAGACCGCCTTTCGCACATTGTTATTCCTTGCGTAACATGTTGCAAGCTTTCTTCAATTTAGAATAGTCTTTGAGCTAAAAATTGTGAATTCTGCTGGTGCATCAGATTATAGATGTTATTCAGCAGGTCGATGGCTCCTCATACAGAAGATCGATGCAATGGTTTGCCTTGGTGAGTTTGTTGTGTAGATATGAAGAACAAGAGAGCTTGGAATGATCATTAAGACATTAACTAACTCTCAGTATAGAAGGATCCTATTGCATAGGGTTAGAAATAGACGCCACCAGAACTGGATTGTCATTTGCTTGAGGATGATGAGGAAGAGACGGAGCTCTAGCAGCTTCAGCAGTTGCAACAGTTGTTTGTCGTTGAACGGAGGATCGAGTGGCTATGGTTGTCATCATGCTTAATGAATTGAAGGATGGATCAATTGGATGGGGAGGTTGAAACTCCAAGGCAGAAGATTAAGAAACGGAGATTTGAATCTCTGGATAAAAATAAATCTAAACGTAGAAATTCACTGGAATCAAATGTCTATTCATATATAATGGAGTCATTGTTCCATTAAGGAACCAGAATGTTTGATGAATGGTAAAATTAAATCTTGGTACGATGCAGAAAGTTTTTAATGGGATGGAGAAAGGGATGATCTGTAAAATTAACACTTCAACATTTAAGTTAGAGAGAATACCAAGAGAAAATGAAAAGTAATATGGAAGTAAAAATAAACTTGAATATCTGAAATGACGCATTTTTTTCTTTATATAATTAAAGTGGCTAAAATCATCTACATAAGGTAATATACGTTATACAGATAACTGTTGAATCTATGGGAGCGGAATTACCTATTCTCTAATAAATGAGAGATTACTTGCTCCATGCGCTTTAACTCTTAGGCCTTTCGCTTTTGATCTTGCGAACGGCACCGAAGAAAAGACATTACTCTTGAAAAGAAAATCAATACGTGAAGGATACATCATAAAAAAGAAGAGATGTGATTCTAGTTTGTAAAATGAAATTATGAATGTTAAGCCGGATTTATAAATGATAATGTCGTTTTCAGTTGTAAATAAAATTAATGGCATATGTGTAGTTAGCCACCTATCTACCTTTAACAAAACCAGCATGATACGAAACTCATACGATTTTCTTTTAATATTCACATCAGAGCCATCGGTTGACATGCTTTTCTAAAGATCCAACGATCAATATCTACTGAGTAGTAGTTGCAGCATCGTGTCAAGTTAGTGGAATCTAATCCTATTTATTATTCCTAGTCATACTCACGAATCTTAATGCCGTTTCTTTACTAATGCTAACCAACAACCACACAATTTTTCTTACTAATTCCACCTAAACATCAATCAAATCATTAAATATAACATCAATATTGTGAACAAATTGATCCTGAATTCCAATTGAGTCATGTGCTACTCTCTGGTTTCAAGGAATTAGTCTCTGCAGTTGTACAGATGATATAATAAGTCATGTGTTCCGCTCTGGTTTCAGAGAGATTAGTCACTGCAGTTGCGCGCAGAGGATATAATGTTTTTTAAAAAAACATCTGAAGAGGTAGTTATATAGAATCTGAGAATCTCAGTAACTTCAACCAAAGCTTGTCCATACTCTTTCTCAAATTATGAATCAGAGTATTCCTTCATCACAAAACAATCACCAACTTTGTCCTTAGGAAAAATTACAAAAATCGTAATATCTAGGACTTTCTGTTTCATCTCTGTGTCATTTTTTCAGGATCCTCCCATGCTACTACCATAGTACCATGTCAACGTTTCATTTGATATATGGTATATGGTTAGTCTTGTCCATGAGATTTTGTATACTTGATGTTTCTACTTCATGCTGTCCGTATCAGTTTTTTCGACAAACCAATCGAAAATTCGAGCAGAAAACTGATAGGTTTTGGAAGTTCAGTGAAATAGATGATACATGGATTGAAGTCAAACTACCATGTGATTTGGTTCCTTGTGTTGATAGTGAAGTGAATAAAATGGAAGAAAGGTTGGAACAAGAAGATGAATTGGATGAGAAAAAGATGAGTTTGGAAGTGATTCTTCCTTTGAGAAAGAGAATTTCTTTGACCAAAATGTCTGATAGTTCTGTGTGGATCATTGGTGAAAGTGGATTTATCTATGAGAGGTTTTGGAATGGACTTGAATGGGTGATTGCTCCTCATGATTTACCTATATCACAAGGACGTGCCGTTGCAGTTTTTATCATTTCTCAGAAATTTTTTGCTCTATCTGAATTAGGAAATTTGTATCAGGTTATAAACTTTCTGATACATAAGCACTTATACGATAAGCGCTTTTGATATTGACTAACTATTATGTCTTTTGTTTTGTTTGGCAGATGCATGTGCAGCTTGGTGAAGCCTCGCAGCCAGTTTGGATTGAATTCAGTCATACACTCGACCAAATCTCGGATACTGATTCGATATTCATAAAATCCGGTGCGGTGTCAGATGATAGGAAGTGAGTACACATTCGGTAAATTCAACGACTTAGATCATTGAATTCCATCATTGCAGAAACCTGTTGATCTCTCTTAATGCCTAGTATGTGTTTGTTGATTTGTCTACAGGAGAGGTTATTTCTGTACAAAGAAAGGAACATTGATAGAGCTAGCAGAGGTTGAGCCTCCAAGGTAAAGATTCAAGTATTGAAACAAACATTCGTATTCAAGTTCAATAATACTAAGCAAATATTACTAATCCAGGCCTTATTTTGCCATACATATAGAACAGATGGATAAATCATGGTCAACCAAGTGGAGCAAATGTTGCAGCAATAGCGGAGGTTGCTTCTTCACGAGAAGTAGTTTACACGATAAGGTGTGTATTTGTGCGTGCGTGTAAAATGATTGTGTTGCTTGAAGTATTTTGACTTGCAAAATTAAAATTTATTGTTCATTTTTAATATTATAAACTGCCATTTGAATAGTAACAGTTATAACTGATGATGTGGTGGTGTAGTTCTGCTGGAGATCTTTATGAATATAACAGTAAATCAAAACCGTCATGGAAGAAGCACATATGGCAAGAAAAAAAGGCACAAGTTTCATCATTGATACCATCTAAGGGGTGCATACATGGATTAATTGGCGATCATTCTGAATCACTGTTTCTTTTAACCAAGGTACTATAAATATAAGTATCAAAATTGCAAATATAAAGTAAAACCATGATATCAAATAAATCACTTGTGTGTTTTGAGCATATGTAACTTACTATGAAGCACTACACATCTACACCGGTAATAATTTGAGAAAATAGAAAAATTGAGTGTAACCATATGTATTAGTGTCGTACTCATATCAGCACTTGTTCGACACCAGACTCTTCAATCTGAAGTGTCGGTACTATATAGGTAACTTGGCATAATGTAGAATTCAATTTTAATGGAGATATTTAAGAACTTATTGCTATCACCATTTTTTCTAAAATATTTGATGATTATATAGGAAGGAACTTTAGTGGAGAGAAGATTACATCAAAGGAAGTGGAAATGGATAGTTCATGGAAATCCACCACATCAAAATTTGACATCTATTACACCATCTTTGAGAGATGAATCTAGTGAAACTTCCATTTCTTTATTCTTCACTACTTCTGTTGGATCTGTTTTTGAGTATCAAATTCCAAAACAATTAGGTCAGTTATCTAATTATGCATAACCTACTTAGCTTTATCCATGACAGATATGCCTAAAAATGAAATAAGATACAGAAAACTATCTTTGCATGTTATTAACTTATTAGAGAACAGTAGACACAATGTCTATAGCAGTGTACCTAAGTTTTATTCTTCAAAATGTTCATGACATTCTAGATATTGAATTCTCACATGAACACAGGCACTTCTCCAAATAATCAATTTCCAGGAGGAGAATGGATAAGTCATCAGCACCCGTTACATGCAAAAGCGGCAAGAGGTAAATCAGGCTTACCATTACAAGTTGGAAGGATAGTCTTTGCACTAGATGATGGTAGAATTGCAGAATTACATCAAGCAGGACTAGGTGGTGAGAGTGCAGGACCATCAATGCCACAAAACTTTAGAAGAAAAACAACATCAACCAAATATGTTTGGTCGATATTAGATGCACCAGAGAGTGAAGGATGGAATGCAGAATATTGCACAGAAGAGCGCGGACCGCGGAATTGTATGACAGGTATAAAAGATGAGTCAAAAGACTCCGGAATCACAAGTTCAGTAACAGGTAGGAGAAAACAAAGCCAAGAACATCATTATTACTTATCTCTAGGAACAGGAAATGAACTGGTTAGTTCTTTAGAAGAATACCAATACAATCTTCCCGATGATTGGGTTAGTAGTAATTTTCGCCTACGGTTGATGTATGAAGGCAAGTCATTTTTCTTAGTAACAAGTGATGGTTTGATTTTTGAACATGTTTGTATTGAAAGTGTTTGGATATGGCTGAAACATGATAGCTCTACCGAAATGAATGGTATAGTAGGGAACTATAATGGAAGTTTATTCATGGTTGATACTTTTGGGAGTGTGCTTCTTAGAGAATGGAGTGGAAATGAAATAGAATGGAAGAATTGCAGTGATATGAGGAGAGGAAAAAATATTGTTGTTGGAGGTCAACCATGGGATAGATTACCAGGTATAGCAAGGAGGGTTACTGCGGAAGATTCGCTCTTCTTTGTGAGCAAAACTGGAAGATTGATGCAGTTCACGGTACGTAAATAGATACGTGATGAAAAATACTTGCAATGCAAGTTATCTACTTTTTAATTTCTTAGAATACTTAAGCTGAATCAACTCAATCTATTAATGTTTTCATGTTTGTCATCATCAACTGAATCAAATACATATATACATGCTAGATATGCAAGAATAGAAAATTTAAATATTTACATGTTTGATTAGGTTTACATGAGGAAATTCAAATGGAAGGACTGCAAAAATCCTCCAAATGTCAAAGTTGCAAACATAGTTGATCAGGAGTTGTTCAGAGAGAACATAATCTTCGTCACCGGAAGAAACGGACGTCTATACCAATACAACAAAGTGAGTGATTTATGGCATGAACATTACCAATCTCAGCATTTGGTTCTATCAAATTTTCCTGGAACAATTATAAGACCAATGTCAAAATCACTCACAGGCTCCATCTTCATGCTTTCAAAAGACGGTGGCCTAGTTGAATACAACTGGAATACATGGCATGAATGGAACTGGATAGAACACGGAACACCTTATAAAGGTGTAACACTTGTTGGCTCACCTGGTCCTAGCTTTGAAGGGAATCAATTACTTTTGATTGGTTCAGATGGAAGAGTATACCTTAGATATATGGAGAAAAATGCATGGAAGTGGAAGGATTGTGGTTTTCCTACTTTAGGAGATAAAACTATGGAAGCAGAAGATAGAGAAGAAGAATTCAATGATGAAGATACTAAAAAAGAACAGGAGAATCTTGGTGACTTATCATTCTTGAATTGTGATCCTAAGGTAAGTGTTAGTTTCACTAAAAACAAAAAAACTTAAACTTTATAAGGATTAAAAATATATTTAATCTTAAAATTAATGAGATGAAATTGATTTTGAATCTTATATAATACAGGTGAGATCTACAAGACCAATTCCATTTTCAGCTGATTCTGCCATATTTGAACTTAGAGATGGCAGGGTAAGAATCTTAGCTCATTGTGATTTTCAACATAGTTAATGTTACATTGAAATTAAGGAAGATAGTATAATGTGATAAGAAATCATTATCTGGAAGAAAAATTACTAATGGTCAATCAAAATTTGTTATAACTAACATAATTACTTGTGGCAGTTGGCAGAGATAAAAGTTGGAGAGGGGAAAGAATGGGTTTGGTCAAGGATCATTGGTACTCCAAATAGTTTATGCATACAAAATTATTGGATTACAGTGGCATCATCACCATCATGAAATTGTGTACAATCTCTTATAAGAAAATGATGAGCCAGAAAAACTTGATGACTTGATGTACATTATAGACAGTGTAGTGACTTTTATGCTAACAAAGAAGAAAGAAAAGTACTAGTTATAGCTACAACAGGATGGAGCTGTGCCATATCTTCACTTGTAAAAATATGTAAAAAATGTAAAAACAAGCTGAGGCTACAGCAACAATATATGAATAAGAATGTGCTCTCTTCATAACCATTATATAAATGTTTTATGAGATAATAGATGTGGGACCTTTTTCTTTTGTTATTAAACCTAAGGGTGGCAAAACGGGTCCGTCCCGTCGGGCATGCCGTTTCGCCCACATTTTTGTGGTTGATCAAAGTTTTGGGTCTGCACTATTTAATGTGTCTATCCCACTCCATTCCATTATTTGCGGGTTTTTGTGGGCACGGACCTTTATATACTATTTTATAATTTTTAGGCATAAAAGATTCAAGGTCCGCTAGTCCGTCCAATCCCGCCATCATTTTTAAATCCATCATTTTTAAATGGGACCGGGCAAAATTTTAGATTCGCACTCTCAAATATGTTCTCTCCGTCCTACTCCGTTTTTTAAAGGTTTTTGTGAGACAAATCTAAATAAGACGGATATGTCCGTTTGCTACCCCTAATTAAATTCCTAGTTCTTAGAATTGGATTTTATTAATCCAGAGTTCTGTCCAAATATATAAAATCTAATTATTAATTATTTTATTTATGATTTAAAATTTGCATTCTCTTAACCGATTTGACATTATAATATTTCAAAAAATTGAAACACTTTACAATAGCAATGAACGGGCTCTTCTTCAACTATCCATTTTATAATACGATCATCGTTAACTTTGCTATAATGTTGTACAATATAAGAGTCATTGTCAGTTTTGATTGCTACATATTTTGTTGATAACTCGTACGATGTGAGTATAGATGTGACATGATCTCAATAAGAAAACATGTTATACTATAAGGATTATGATACTTTTAATGCACTCTTGCCTCTTCTCCAGCTTGATTTTTAATTTTGATTGTACACCAACTTACATTAAAAATACAACAATCATGACTAAATTGTAAACTAATTGATTTAAAAATTAATGAGGAAGATCTTGGTAATTTGTTCCATCGAATTGATACCTTAAGAAAAGAGATTAAGATTCTGGAGTTGAAAGTGGACCAAAGTGTTATCCAAAAGCTTTAGTTAGTGGAGCGATTTAGGGTCGTATCTGGTCTGAAGATTAGAAAGTCTCTTTATTTTCAAAGATTTAAGATAATTTGGATTCGATCGAGTGAAAGATTTGAAGAACATAGAATTCTTGAAAATGAGTAGCGTGAGACGGTGAATTAAATTAGTAAATTTTGGGTTACAACAATTTACAATTAGGATTTGATCGAGTGAAGGCTTTCAAGATCATGCCTAAACAAGTGCGCGCGCACACACAACACACACCATTTTCTTTTAGTGATTTTGAGAAAATCACAAATAAAACCGGAATTTTAAAGAGTGTTATTCGTCTTCAACCTTCATTTTATGAATACATACAAACAAACTACACATAATTATTTTTTGTTTGGGTGCCATCTAGAATTAGAGTTGATAACATCCAATTTAGGTTGGTGAACTATAAATTGAGATAAGATCTTTGAGGGTTTCAAATAAGAAAATCAAGGTGGGATTTTCCTTAGCGGAGGGTTCTTGCAAAGGAGTAGCGTGAGACAGTGAATTAAATTGGTAAATCTTGGGTTGCAACAATTCACAATTTGGATTCGATCGAGTGAAGGTTTTAAAGAGTGGAGGTTTCTTGCAAAAGAGTAACGTGAGATGGTGAATCAAATTGGTATTGTTGGTGACTTGATCAAGCTCAGATCAAGAAAAGAGAAAGTGTTATAATCAACATCAAACATAGGGTTTGTAAGGTTGCGTTTCTACATTTCTCTTGTAAATTAGATTTGCAAAGTAAGGTTAATTTTCACTATTTCAACTCAAGTTCAAATTGAGGGCAAACGTACCCATAGCGAGGTTGATTGAGGAACTGCCTAAACAAATTCTTGTGTTCTCTCTCTCTCTCTCTCTCTCTCTCTCTCTCTCTCTCTCTCTCTCTCTCTCTCTCTCTCTCTCTCTCTCACACACACACACACACACACACAACAAATATTTGCACATAAGGTGTTTGACAATTTGCCTCAATTACGTTTTTGTGTATTTTATCATTGGAAATAGCTTTACTTGTTGATTAACTTTCAAGTGATTGTGGTTTTAAGCATATTGATTGATTATTTTATCATTATCATTAATTGGTTTTTATATACGCATATCCGAACTTTTTGATAGTGGTTTGATTTAGACTATTCGATTCGGCTCACTTTTACTAGCTGTTAAATTTTCAAAATAGTTTTTGTAAAGCATTTTTTTATAATTTTGGATATATTCGCTCTAATCTAGATAAGTCGCCTTCGTCTATCACGAGTTCTGGTTAATTTTGTGCTTCAATATTCGCTTATTAGATAATGACTACCGAACCTAAAGGGGCATACAATAAGTGTCCATCTTTACCGTTAAAAAATATGGCTATTGGAAAACTTGTATGTGTATTCATATCAACTTGGTTGATAAAGGTGTATGGGATGCAATCATCAATGGTCCTAATCAAATTATAATGACCTATGGTGAATGTGTTGTCGCACCAAAACGAGAAGCACAATGAAAAGATAAGGATAATAGATTGTGGTCACATGATTAAAAGGCACAAAATATTCTTTTATCCACACTTGGTACTGATGAATATTATCGTGTCTCTCATTGTGAAATCACCAAAGTTATGTGGGACGCATTAAAAGTTACCTATAAGGGAATTAATGAAGTTAAACAATCTAGGATCAATACCTTAAATCAACAATTTGAACTATTTCGCATGAAACATGGTAAAACCATTGTCGACATGCAAAATAGGTTCATACATCTTATAAATCGTTTGAAGGCTCTAGGTAATCCTATTTCCAATGATATTGCTACTAATAAAGTTTTGAGGTGTCTTAATAGGGAATGACAACCTAAGATCACCGCAATAAAAGAAGTGAATGATCTTAATACAATTGATCTCACAACTTTATTTGACAGTTAGAAGAACATGAACAAGAACTCACTTACTTGGATAAACATGAGAAAAAGCATGAAAAGGAGATAAAGAAGTAGAAAGGTAAGGAAAATGAGGTAGAAAAGAAGTTTATTGCTCTAAAAAGATGACGAGGTAGAAAAAATGAGGTGAGAAAAACCAATGAGCAAAGTGAGTATGAAACAAAAGATGATGAGAATTCGGATGATGAAAAAATAGAGCTTTTTGTGAAAGGGCACAATAGTTACATCAAAAGAAATGGTGTAAAGTATTCCGAAAAAAGCCTCATCAAATTTAGAATATAATCAAACTCCTCAAAGGAAGATCAATAAGTTCATGTTTCAATTGTGGCAAAGCTAGTCATTACAAGCCGAAGTCTTCGTTTCTTGAGAAAGACAAACAGAAATGCCATCACAGAAAATCTAGCAAGTCAAGAAGAGCTTATATTGTTTGGGAAAGTGATAATGATTCCTGAAGTGATGATAGTTCAAGTGACAGGGAAGAATCAACAAATGTTTGTCTCTCGGCTCATTATCGTGAAGAGAATAAAAAGAATGTAAGTCACTCTAAATATGAACATGTTGATAAATTATCTTATTCCGAGTTACAAAAAGCTTTGGAAAATATACATAGAGAAGTCGTATATACTTTCAAAAAGTTGGATACAAACAAAGAGAATCTTTTCATATTTAGAAGCTAAAGTTTTAGATACAGAAAAGAATATGAAAGCTCTTAAGCAATTTATGATAGATATTTAAAAATTTAAAAATAAGGATGAAGAAAGCTCTTGGTTTGGTTGTGAGACTTGTCATATTTAGCAAAATGAAGTAAATACTCTAAAGGTCAAATTAAACAAGGCTCTAGAAGCAAAATTTACCTTTACTATTGATACTACCAAATATAAGATGCCTTCTCATAATCCTTATAGAAGGTATAACTTTGTTGAAAAGGATCAAAATAGAAAAGGTCACTCTGCTTACAATTTAACTTGTCACTTTTGTTGCAAGAAAGGTCATACCATTGCAAAATACAAGTTTATGAGATTTCTTTTGCCTAAAGGTGTTTTTCAATGGTTACTTAAATGCAACCAAGGTTTCACTCACCATCAAGGACCTAATGAAGATTGGGTACCTAGTATTTTTTGTTAATTTTGAAATATGAATGTCTTGGCTCTATGAATAGAGTATGGGATCTTGTTTGTACGTGCCCAAAACATATAACTGGTGACATCTCCATATTTTATTGACTTTGTGGCTAGGAAGAAGGGGTGTGTGACCAAGGAAGTTAACAACTAGTTTGTGAAGGTAGGAAAACACTGAGAAGGGGGTTGAATAAGGGTTTTCAAAAATAAATAAGGCAATAAAAATAACAGGTATTTTTATACTGGTTCGTTTGAACTCAAACTACTCCAGTCCACCCGGCCAAGGTGATTTCGCCTCTTTCAAAAGAGGACTTAATCCAATAATCAAAAGTTGATTACAATATTTTCACTAAGACAAACTTGTCTTAATCTTCTAAAGAATACTGACCACAACTTGGTCTCTCAAGGATCTTTTACAATATAATACAATAAAGTGTTTAAGTGCTTCTTAGAAAAGCTTTTTCACAACAGTGATTTTACACAAAATGAAGATCAATGAATTTTCAGCAAAGTAGTACGTTGTAGAATGTTGTTGATGTATCCTTTCATTTGAATTGTTGTTGAAGACTTGTTTAAATACTTCACACCTATTCCTCAAATAGCGTGCACATACACAAATGAGGAATATTCAGAGATATCCTTTTTTATTCTGAAATCCTGTCCCATACACAAAAGAGGAATAGTGTCGTTGGATGTAGACAAAGACTTTTGCAACGAATTTTTTT